ATAAGAAGCTGTAATGGGACGTTTTTTGAGGTGGTTGGAATCTTTTCATAACAATTGAAGTTTTGCATATTATTATGTATATCATTTACCACATTATTTCTTGTGTATGCGAGAACAAGGAAATTTGCCACAGTTGTAGACATCCGAGCCACCAATTGTGGGATTGTCCAAAAAAGCAACGATGCCAAAATTGTTGTTTAGGCTTTCTGAGGTGGTTGGAAGTTGAAAAAAAGAACAAAAACATAGGAAAGTTATTCATATGTTGCAGTCGAGATTGCGGATTTTTCATGTGGAGTAAAGTTTCCCCCGACGTCTAGATATTATTACAAGACGAAGGACAATCCAGTGGTGTGAAAGACGATCTTGGATCAAGATGTATTTGCATGGGAAAATGTAATTCGACAACTCCAGTTGTTGAGTTGTCAAGTATGTTGGAACATTGCGCTGGAATTACCAAACAAAAATACATCGACATAAGCCTCAACATAACCATGCGCAAGGGGAAAAAAGAGGCCGAAGAGAATGGGGAGCAAAAATGAAGTGAATCGTCCCATGTATTGTACTCACGTGCTTGATGAGAATCAGTAGTTATAATGTTGTAGTGATATAATGTTTAGTAGACTTTAATTCCAATTGGGTGTTATGTTATTACCACATCCAGTTGAATGTCCCTGTAATGATTTTAACTCCTGGATGTTTGTACTAAATGTTTTTTAGTTTAATGTTGAGCAAATTTCGCAAGTAAGGTGTTATATTATCAAATGTTTTTTAGTTTCATGTTTAGCAAATTTGGTAAGTGTTTTGCTTTTTCAATGCAAGTAATTCTGCCACTGAAATAGATTAGGCTTCTCAATATTAACAGGAAAAGGCAAATCCCTTACAGGAAGATGCACCCATTTTTATTGTATAATGGTCAACTGCTTCATAATTATTATCAACTGAACCCGAACTTCTGGCGGCATCTTGATCTTAAAAATGAACCTGATATCATTTAGAAAGAGATGAGTGAAAAGAAACTGTTGTGATGTGAATGATGATCAAAGCCTTGATTTCTGAAATTCGTGAACATTGTTAAGTGCACATAACATAAAAATTTGAAGACCCGAGAAAAGAGTACAATTATATTAGTGTAAAAATAAAACAAAAAACAACATCCTATCTTTAAACAAAACAAAACATCCTACCATTTGATATTTTGGAGTTAAATACAGAAGGCAGAAAAAACCTTCTTAGACACCATCCATCTACATCTACCACATTGTGCCTCCATTACATTTAGGTACATATATCTGCTAGTTACATCATCAAGAACAAAAAAACCAGCACGAAGCATTCTGCTTGCTACATATATCTGTTAACCACATCATCAAAAAACCAAAAAAAAAAAAAATCAATTTTTCTCCTCCAGCAAACAAACAACTTCAACAAAAAACCAAATTGTCTGGCGCTACAGTCTTCCTTCCCTTCATGATGTCTATTTACGTCTACTCCAATCAGCCCTTGGTACTCTACGACTTGACGCATTTGTTCGGGTAAGTTCATCCTCCGTATCATGGAGTTCAATTTGCTCAATCACCAACAAACTTTCCTTAGGCATTGAAATTGATAGCTCATGATTTGTACATGTAGTTTCGGATTGCATCCCGACCCCAGGAGTAGGCATGAAATGGAAAGTTTGTTGTTCTCTCTGTGCTTGGTTGGACCCTGAACCAGCACCTCTATTCGGCGTAAGTTTTCCCTAAAAATTGAAAGAAATATAAGTTATTGGAAACACAAGTGTAAAACAAATTGAGAGCGAAAGCACTTAACATATCTCCTATTGTCCACATCAAGAGACCTTCGACGCTCTACTGGCTCCAAAGGAGCCGCAACCCAGTCTTACAAATTAACATTTGAGTACTTCGTCACAGATTATGTTAAAAACAACTATCAAATGAGAATTTTAATAAGTACTCACCAGGGAAGGAGCATCTGGCCTGCTGTGATATCTTTTGTTATGACCTTGTAGTCCACATAATGAGCATGTCATTGCAACTCTTCCTTTTCTCCTAACAAAAGATTTTCCCTGCGAGTGTTCTATTACATCTTCCTCTGCTTGCCTCCTTCATTTTTGTTGCTTTCTTCCCCGCTGTGGAACAGTCCACGAACGTGCCATGATGGGAAGAGTGTCCAACTGGGGCAACAATTTTTTCCCATTAATCGGATTCATAATCTGATCATAGCACATCAAATATGTGTCAACTGTATAATAGTTGTCAACATAGCCCTCAGGTTTATTTTTGTACTCTCGTATAATGGCAGCAGCATGACTACATGGAATCCCCGTCAAGTCCCACCTCCTACATGCACAAGTCGGTTCTTCCAAATCAACAACATATGTCCCAGTTCTACAATCCACTTGCCATCTAGGCCCCTCTGAAAAGTGTAAGGTGCATTCAGCTGACATGTCCGTGATCTTGGCTAGTCTTTTTTTAATCCTTAGACACAATCGACCTTTGAAACTCCTCATCATAGTACGACGCTTCTCAATCTTTTTCATAAATCCCAATTGCATATCCGTGAGCATCGTTAAGATGAACTTCTCTCTATCGTCAATCAACAACTTATTGAAAACTTCACACAAGTTATTCAACAAAAATCACTTCGCGAATGTGTCCTGAAATGAGATTTACTCCATTCGGCCGGATGCCTTTCCATCAGCCATTTGTAGGCATCTTCACTTAGTTGCTGAATTTGTTGTATCCACTTTCTGTAGTCAGCAACTGTGGTTGATTTAGCAGCCCGCCAAAGAAAATCCTTCAGACTCCTTCCCTTGAACCCCGCACTGAAAGAGTTGGTTTACATATGTCTCACACAAAACCTATGCTCAATGGCCAGAAACAACTCATCAATGACATTACTTAAGCCCTTCTGTCTATCCGTCATCACAGTCCAATCAATACCGTTTCCCATAAGGATATCCTCAGCCAGATATCTCATAAACCATCTCCATGCAATCACGTTCTCTTTCTCCACAATAACATAAGCAATCGGGTAGATGCAGCCATTCGCATCTAGGTCAATTGCAGTGAGCAGTATACCCCCCTCCTAAACACCACGAAGGTGATACCCGTCTACTCCAATTATTTTTCTACACCCCAGTTGGAACCCCCTCTTGCAAGCACTAAAACAAATATAGACACCTTGAAATACTTGACCATTAAGTGCTATCATCACCATTGACCCTGGGTTGGATCTCAACACCTCCGCTCTGTAGGACCTCAATTCGACAAATTATTGTTCAATAGTCCCATTTATCATCTGCTTTGCATACCTTCTTGCTTTCCAAGCGACATTTCTAGTAATATTTATATTCAAGTCCTCCTTTACAGTCACTTGCATACTTTTCGTTTTCCACTACGGATCTGCCTTAAACTGCTCGAAATATCGATGGACTATGAACATGTAAGTGCGGTGACGATTATATTGGTCCCGACTACATGTATGTTCAGGCGTATATGACTTCACTTGCATCGTATCTAAATTATTTATCTTCAAAGCCCATATTCTCCATTTACACTCTGTTTTACATATGCCTTGAACTCTTCTTTCGTCATTTGCCTTACACTTCACATTGTATCCATTTACTGCACCGTACGTTCGAATATCCTTCCTAAATTCTTTAACAGAACTAAACAACTGCCCAATCTGAAAGTGTGGATCCCACATATCCATTTCTGGACTGAACTCCGGAAATCGATACCCGACCTCATCATCAGATGAGATAGCTGACAACAGTTCTTCAGATGATGGACATTCCAAATCATCAGCCTCCTGATCTTCATCGTGTTTCGTTCATGCATAATCATCTTCATCTTGTTCAGTTGCACCCCCATCACATCCTAACTCAATTCCTTCTGTTACATTCTTGTCGAATTTCAGATTGTCTTCCCTAGATGATATAGCATTATCGGAATCATTGAAGTCGGAGTCATCCTCCGCATCTGTTAAAAAAGCTTTCAATTAATAACTGTGGGTATCATTATAAAAGAATACATTTATTTCAGCAGAAGAAGGTGATATCTATTTTGACCATCCAACTTCGCAAGCCACAACATAATATAACAATACCTTGAATAAATCAAGAAAATGTAAAGACTGCTCACAACATTGTTCAGAAACAATGACCACCCAAATATGTCATTGACAATAAATCATTATAAGATACATCAAACTCTAATCCTTGAGGGGGAATGTGGAAAACATGAGTTAATTTCAAAGGAAATTAGCGATTTTCGAAAATAATATAATACCTGTATTTTCTTAGAGATAACAAGGTGTTTTTGCACATCCCTATCAATGCGGGATCTGATGGTAAACTTGTAGCATATGTATTCTTTTATAATGCCTTTTCCACACATAACTCCGACCAGTCTATTGATCGTCCACAAAAATAAAATAAACCATAAATTGAAACACAGACAAGAGAATATTCGCATTTACGGTCATGTGATTCCTTCATTTGCTAATCTTTGATAATCAAACTCTATGCGTCTTGGATTCTAGCGTCGGTGGGGTATGCGGTTGGCCACAGTGAAGATGTTGTCGGGTTAAGGTTCTTCATAAAAAGGGAGTTAATTGATATTGGCCATGGCAATAAGAGTAAATCATGTTTTAATTCGTTTTTTTTTTTTTTTAATCAATGGTGGCATTTCACGGCCACATGTCAATTCCGTCTTCCACCTGTGCAACAATTAGTGAGGGAATTAACGGGGTAAGGAATGGCGTGCAATATCGTAAAGTTCGGTAAGTGATCAGATGCAAGTCAAAGTTCAGTGAGTAAGCCTTGACGTTACCCAAAGTTCAGTGAGCGTTGAGACAATTAACTCCAATTTAGAGCCTCATTAAAAACTCTCTAAACACAAAATATTCTCTATTTTAAGAATCAATGTTTAAATATAAGCTCCAATAAACTTTTTATTTTAACTTTCTAAAATAAAAAATGAGTTTAACTCTCCAAATTTAGAAAATTAAATTTACCATATTTTCTTAGTTAAGGATGATTGTATTTAGTAAGTTACAAATTTCAAAACTCTACAATTCAAATTATCCAAATTACATTTCAGTTGAAAAAGCAGAGAGGTATAAAGAATCTAGAATGTAAAACACATGGTGCTCACTTGGACCAAGCCAGACCAGCCTTTACGGGTGGACCTGAACAGTCAACCCAATGGTGCACACTTGGATCGAGCCAGACACAACCCAGACCAAGACTAGCCTCAAGCTTTTTGTATCAAGAGACAGATAGAAGAACTCCTCGTCTCTAAACATCAGCTATTACATGAATCGTTATTGTTCTCATGAAGATGTGATGAGCAAGAAGCCGACTTCCATATGAAGTTTCTTTTGAGCGGCATCAAATCCAGTTGCGGTTTCTTTATTGAAGATGCCACTTTGTGCACTTGATGATTGAGATTTGCTAGCATATCTTCGGGAGGGAGATTCTGGCCTTTCAAGGTGGAGCTTGCAGCAGCATTGATCTGTAAAGGAGCAGATGAACATGTCGGAGAAAATTTTCAGGAAAAAGCAAAATTCCAAACGACACACACTTTCATGACCCAAAATGGATGGCAGGAAAAACAGGTACAGTAATATCGTGCCAATTGTTCCAGTAGACTCAAGTTTGAGTTCTTCACATTTGACGTAATATTATTTTTTGGTTGTTCTATTCTTTAAAGAAAAGTTAAATTGGATAAACCCACTTTGACCGACTCATGTTGACATTAAAATGACCCCTCTAATCCACGTCTTCCCTCTATTCAGTGAAGGGTCCTCCCTATAATAGCTAAGGTAAAGTATCGATCTTGGATCACTCAATTTTTTCTCATAACTCACCAACTGGAATTAGCTTATTAGATCCTACATCTACACTTACATTTTCATACTGGAAAGCATGAGATCCAGCCTACCCAGTAACTTAGCTATCAACTTCTCCACATTTTTGCCCAAGGTCTACTTAAAGAGAAAAAAATTACTTTAAAAAAAATTTAAATAATCAGATAATTTCATTTCCAGTACCTTTTTGAACTCTTTCCACTTTCAGTTTCTTGTCTAACCAAATTTATGCACTCTGACTCCTCTAAATGAATGGATACCTATGCTATACACCTTATAATCAAACAAGAGTATAAGACACTTGAATAGCTTATGCTGTTTTGCATAGAGAATAAATTGAAACTCTTATAATTAAAATTTTATAAATTAATAATTTCTGTTAATAAAATTCTAAAACACCAACTCTATTCTATGTCCCAAATTTATGCTCGATGATTATTACCTTTTGAAAGAAGTCTATTATACTATTAATTATAATAGGGAATTCACAATATATGTATTGCATTATTATATGCACAGAGGTTATAACATACATTTACAGAAGTAAGTTCATTATATAAATTTATAAGGATTGTGGCACCACATACAATATATTATTCCTAATTACAAATTTGAGCTTCGGATCGCCAAGCCCAAATTGCAGCTTCTTGAGTTCACTAGAATAGTAGGAGCTTCTTTTAAGATAGAAGAAGAGTGTAAGTGTGCCGTGTCATATACACACATTAAGAGCTATGTCCAAAATTACATACAATAACAAGCTGTGTTGTAGAGGATGGAAAGAAATTGATAGGACAATATACAAATTCCATTGAATTTAAAATTCACAGTATCATAAGATTGAGAAAAAGCGAAAAAGTAAAACTTTTTTAATTTAACCTCTGTCTGGAAATGATTTATAAATGCTACCTCACCCTTTCTTCATTTCAAACGGACAAAAACATGCACTGCCGTTGGTTGCCCAGTTTTTCCCTTTCCAGAAGACCATTTTTGCCCCTTACCCATGTAGGTCAATTTACATCACAAATATGATGTATGTGGGGCATTTTGGTAATTACTGTAGTAAAATTTCGTTAAATAAAAATGTGAAACCAAGTTTAACAATTGAAGGCACTTGCGGACACCAATGTCTGCCCTCCTTTCAAGGGCAAAAATAGGTGGCTGCTGCATGTTCAACCACAACAAAATTTATATATCAATTATAACTAGTATGTTTCAAAACAGAGGCTTAGTAAATTACACAGTTAAATCATAACAAATTGCTTGTACCGATTGTGATGCCGCTATAACTGTCTTCAGCAATCCTTTTGCTATAGGCAAGATGCAGAACCTTAAAAACAACAAATTTGATAGGTCAGAGAGTTGTAAGAAAAATAAAAACGCAAAATAAACTTTCTTATTGTAGAGTTTAGTCCAAAAGAATTTATGTTATATTAAAAAACTCTTGTACAATTTCTTTTTACGGCATATACAGACAAGCAATTTCAGTTAGACAGCTTTGTAACTCACTCACGATCTTTCTCATTCTCCAAATACAAGCATCAATCTCCTATTTGAAGGAGTTAAAGTCAGCAGTTCATCCCTCTCCATATTCATCCAGTTAGGTAGTGGTGAGACAAAAAACATGTCGGTAAAAGTGAAAGGTCTAGAAATGAGAAAAAATATATAAAGGAAAGAGAGAGGAGAAAAATGGAAGGAAGAAAGCCATAAAAGTCTTGAACCTTCAATTGGTGTTATGTGATGATCTTCAATTCTCCTTCAGCATCAATTATTTAGTTTAACCATTCTCTTCTAGTCATTCCTAATCGTGTTCGAAACTCTATAAATTAGGAAGTTCTTTGGTCAAGACGTGTGCTACTGTTCTTGTATGTTTCTATGCTTCATCTCAATCTCCTCTTCAAACACTCTCTTTATAATGAAGTGAGTGTATTTGACGAGTATAATTCTTGCATGTTACACTGGTTTCTCTACTATGAAAATGGTTGATCTATGTCTCTGCCACTGCTCTTGACGAAGACATTGTAGGTTGTTTTAAAAGTAGAGATCATGATGAAGCATATCAACAATGAAAAATAAGTGGAAATTTCGACTAAACAACGTAACATTTCTAAATTCACAGTGTTTAGGACACTCAGAATGACTAAAAGAAATGGATTAAACCTAAGAGTCGATGCTGAAGGGGAGAATTGAAAATAATCACCGACTTTGCCTCTGGATTGTTCTCTTCCCTTCTCTTTATTATACTTCCCCATTTCTAGACTATTACAAAATTGCCCACATACCAAGAAGCACTTAGAATGCTTCATATTTTTGTTTCTCTACAACCAAGCTGGATTTTGCTAGCTACTCTTTTATACTTCCATACTAGATATCTCCAGAAATGAATAAGTATGTTGATCCACCGACTATCAGGGGCGTACCTATCACTGGGCCCTTAATTTTTGACATTTACGAAGTAGCCCACATAATTTTTAGTCCATAATTTTAAGTTTTTAACCCATAATTTTTACATAATTCTGTCTCGCCCCTACTTAATCATGTTCCTGGGTCCTCTCCTGTCGACTATAGCACTTGTAAACATGCCATTATTGCTTCTTGTAAGATGAATGAAAGAGATAATCACCGACTTTGCCTCCAGGTTGTTCTCTTCCCTTCTCTTTATTATACTTCCCCATTTCTAGACTATCACAAAATTGCCCACAAACCAAGAATCACTTAGAATGCTTCATATTTTTGTTTCTCTACAACCAAGCTGGATTTTTCTAGCTACTATTTTATACTTCCATGCTAGATATCTCAGAAATGAATAAGTATGTTGATCCACCGACTATCAGGGGCGTGCCTATCACTGGGCCCTTAATTTTTTACATTTGCAAAGTCGGCCACATAATTATTAGTCCATAATTTTAAGTTTTTAACCCATAATTTTTACATAATTCTATCTGCCCCCCACTGTATCGGGTCCACCCTGCCGACTATAGCACTTATGAACATGACATTATTGCTTCTTGTAAGATGAATGAAAGAGATATAATCACACAGGTGCTTTAGTGAAGTGCAGAGCAGTAAAGTATTCTTTGGTGAGAGCTTAATTAAGTGAACAGTGTAAGTGTATGTATCTCATAATACAAGTGTTTAGACAATAATAAATACAATTTACCGTTTTGTCATAAAATCAACACTTCACCATATGTAAATTCACCCAAAAAAATAATAATAATAAATAAAATAAAATAATTACTTCTGTGAAAAGTAGGTCTAACTTAATTTCAAGAACGAAAATTTTAAGCACATCCAAGCATGCTGGCTTCGCAAACATAATCAGTAAAATTCATATAGAAAATATAGTGAAATTCGATCTTTGTTAAAAAAATAAAAAATAAAAAAATAAAGAACAATTACATTCCACGGCCACCAGTTAAGGCTTCTTCTGATGGGTCTTTCCATTCATCCAACCTACAAAATAAAATAAACAAAATTATAAATATAACATATACATACAAATATCGACTTACAGAGAAGACACTTACACCCAACCGTAGCGGCGGTCGAAAAGGAGGCGTTTTGAAGGTGCGGCAGCGGAGGAATTTGCGGTGCTGCTCTGCATTTTTTTCCGAAGCTTGCAAAAATGAAAGTCCGAGTTCCATTTTGATTTGTGAAGTGGGCCGATTCGGCCCATTAAGCCATTTTGAAATATACCGATTTTACAACGAGTAATGTACACTACTTTTCAAAGTTAAGTAATTAAAACTCGATATTTTAAACTTCAATAAGCAATCGAAAATAGAACTAAATTCAGTGGCCAAAATTAGACATTTTACCAATCAAAGATATGAACCTAAATTCAATGACCATTGGAACTATTGACTCGGGAAAATTGCATCATTAATCTCCAACTCCAACCTATTGAATTTATGTTCATTTGTGCTAAGAGACAGCACGGTTTCCAAATTCGGATTTTAGTTACACATTAGTCCCTCGTGCCTATTTTCTTTTAGCCCTCGTTTGATATGCATTAAAATCAAAAATTTTATTTAAGTCAAAATCAATAACTAATTTTAACCATATATTTAAATTCACAACTTTTTCAACCACACATTTCATTAACTTTTATCAAAATCTATTAAAAATCTGATTTTTATCCCTACCAAACAAGGTAAGTCGATGGCGATTTATTAAGTTGACCTACAAGGGTAAAATTGTCAACATACGTCCCTCATTCTATTATTTGCATTCAAGCTTATTTTTCATTTCAACGCATTAAAAGTAGAATATAATACCAACACACATGAAGATTTCTTGAAAATAAATATTTTCTTGCATGTCAAAGACGAGTGAATTTTGTTTTTTTTATTTTGAGACTGAAATCAATTATGGAAAAAAATGAGAAAGGAAAACAAGCATTTTACTTCTACCTGTAAAGAGAGTTCGAAGAAAATGTGATTGAAGTAGTGCAATTGACCATTTTACCTTCAACAACAGCATGGAAATGATCATATTAGTGCAGTTTAAGTGGACTAAAAATGACATCAAGGTGTATAGTTCTCTGTACATAATATGTATTTGAATTCTTTCTTATACTAGTCTGCGTCTCGTGCGTTGCACAAATTTTGTATTTATTTTGATTTTATTAGCGTAAAATTTATAGATTGTACAAAAAGTATTTGGAAATAAGAAATGTTTGTTTGATTCTCATCTTTTGGTCGACTGTATATTTTATGTCACGATAATTTATTTTTATTCTTATAAATAAGTATAGTGAATGTTGTGATTGTATATATGTCAACGATAATTTATTTTTAATTATTTATTGTATTTTTTGTTTAATGTAGATGAAGATATTTATTTTATCTGATATTGCAAATAAGTTGTAAATTGAATTTTGCAAAATGCTTTTCTTTAGCAACTTTGATTCAAGAGGCTATACTTGTAGTTCAAAAATAACTCATGTAGTTGTAAATTGAAAGAGAATATCCACATACACAAACATTTAAATAACAAACTCAGGTTCGCACGTAAAAATAACTTGAAGTGACACTTACTGGATGG